TGTTTGCAACATTATCCTCCAGTGTACAACAATGCACTTACAGATATGTGGGTTTGTACTGAGTCCAGCTGCTGGGTGTCTCCCAAAGTTCCCTGTCATTCTAGACACCGACTGTGTACAGGAGATGAGAAGAGGGGAAACTTTACTTTCAGTCCATCTATCCATCTGTTAGCAACACTGCTTATCCTTTCAAGGTTGGAGGTGGAGGGGAGCCGGAACCAATCCTAGCTGACATTGGGACAAGGGTATACAACAATCTATCTCAGAGCCGACAGATACAAACAACCACACACTTACTGATGAGCAGATCGGTGCCAATAAACCGAACTTGCACATCCACAGATATTCAACAAAATGGTACATGGACTATTAATATTGTCCTTTTCTAGTCTTATCGATCACTCAGAGCGCTTTACAGTACAATTCGCATTCACCCATTCATGCACACATTCACACAGCTCTTATGCATACAGTGCTTTTTTTCTGTCAGCACAGCCTTCAGTGGCAATTTGGGGATAGGTTTCTTGCCGCAAGGACATTTTGGAATTCGGAGCATAGGTAGTTGGGGATGAAACCACCGATCAAGTTTCTTGCTATGAGGTACACCACAGCACGCCCCCCCCCCCCATCCATCAACTACAAATGTACATGTTCAACTATAAAATATGTAAAAGGAGCAGATTCCTCACAGTTATCATTATAAAAATGTAGAAATGTAGTTCTAATTTCCAACCAATGCCAAGGGGTTGAAAATATTAATCTTTATTAGAAACCATCACCCTTTGTTGTAAAATTTTAAAATATGACAATCAATTCATAAAGAAATCCTTATTTCTAGAATTGTAGTGATTATGGACTGATCCCAGCTCAAAGCCTCTCATTCAGACTGTATATAAACAGAACTGAAGCCAGTGAACCTGAAAAATACTCAAGAACACAGTAAAACTGTGTACACACTAATTAAAGTAAGAACCGTTCCCACTGAAGCAGCTTGTATTATATGTTCAAGGATATGAAAATGATTTTGTATAAAAGGTTTGCACTTGACCGATGGAGATCTCAGTCCTTGTTTTTATTGCCTTGTCAGAAAAAGCTTGCAAGGAACATGTGAGAAATGGCAGCATTCATTTCTGAACGGCGCAGTGCGATCGCTCACAGGCATTGATACTGTGTTCAAAAAGTGTCTTTGAAGTTGTCACACAGACAAGAGGGACATTCTTCCAAATGGGATACTTTTGAACTGATAATGCTATTTGGTGAGAGCTTTGATCCAAAGAGCCACCGCGTCATGGTTTTGTGTGTATGTGTGTGAATGAACTTATTCCTCAGGCACAGACCCTGTCCTTCAAAATTATTCAAAAGTGTATTAGCTGCCGTGATATCTCAGCCCAAAGCCACTGGACATTGAATTCCCCACAATGCTCGTGAACAGAGACGACACAATGTGTAGCTTTGTGAGGTGTAACCCTGGGTTAAAACACAATTTGTGAACTTCCTCCCTTTCTAATTTTCTTTTCACCCCTTAACATGCAGGCAAGTCACCATTAACTCAAGTATGACTAATGAATGAATGAACGTACACGCCTCTGAATCACACTTTGAACATGAGGGGGAGTGTTTGTCCATAACTGGAAACCTACCAACACTGTTACATCATTAGATTCCCATTGTTTCCGATTCACATATCTGTTGTCATGAGAAGAAACAAGATGAAAAAACAAATGACAAAGTCACCAGAGAAGAACTATTTGTGACATTATTACGAGTTGATAGCTATCGATTAGGACTTAATCGATCAACGAGAACGATAAATATTCAATAATCAATTAATTTATAATAAATATCACAATTCGCCAATTCTAACATCTCAATTATAAGGACTTGCTGTTTGTCATTTTCACTCGGTCAGACACAACTTGCAATGTAAAGAAAATCAATTCTCATTTGCTTGAAAAATGTTACATTATATAAAATGAAAGGACTTTTAATTTTGGCACAAAGTACAGAAGCAGCCTTAGTGCAAAACCAAACACCGGCCATTGTTAAAACCACATTTGTTTTTAAATTGGTTTCATGAGGCCAGGGTGCACGAAATGTGGTCCATCTGTGTTGAGCCTCGAGTGCTTTCGAAAAACATTGCTAAACTCCAGTCCAGCTACAAAGTTTGTTTGACGACATCAGAGAGAAATCTCTTAACTCCTTGGTTCCTTGAAAGTAGAGTACGTGAGATGGAAAACAACACTTAACCTGAGCAGCAGCACCTTTGTTTGAACAGATTAAATCTCCCGGTGTGTAAAGACACCATCCAGGTGCAACCGAACAACCCAGCTCCACATTAATGCTGCCCACAAATCAACTCAAAAGAAAGTTGCTTATCATGGATTGTCCCTTTGACCCTCTTAAAACACACACACACACACACACACACACAC